CTCATGGTCCTGACAAAGTGTTGTTATTTTTCGGGTCGATCAGAAATCCAATATGGCCGCCACGGCCGCCATTTTGAAAAACTATTTCAAACTTAAAGTCAAGTTCTGCTAGGCCGATTGAACTGAAAGTTTGTAGGAATGATCAGCTCATGGTCCTGACAAAGTGTTGTTATTTTTCGGGTTAATCAGAAATACAATTTGGCTGCCATGGCCGCTATTTTGCTACTAAATTCTAATAGGCTGATCTCACTTAAAATTGGTCTAGGAATGATCAGCTCATGGTCCTGACAAAGTTAAGTTAACCTTATACTATTTTTTACTCAAATTGGTACATATTTCAACAAAAAAATAATAATACTGTAGACTCAGGTGACCGTTAAGGCCCATGGGCCTCTTGTTATCTACTGATAAGGTACTCCCTGTTTTTATTATCTACCGATATGGTACCCCTGTTTTTATAATCTACCGATATGGTACTCCTGTTTTTATTATCTACTGATATGGTACTCCTGTTTTTATTTTGTAATGAGTCAGAAGCTATAACTTTGCAACCAACATTTACTTACACAGAGCCAGAGTACAAGAGTCGTCTGTTCCTGGACTGTTGTGGTTTGGTGCGTCAGGTGATGCGAGATCTTCGTAAAGACTTCGGGTTCCGCCTTGGGCCATGGAATCAGGCATACATGTTTGATATACTGCCAATTGCTGTGGAAAGAGAGGAAGACATGAAACCTGGAGACCTTGTGTTTATATCAGGAACATACCCACGTCCTAATGGTATGTAAAAACGGGGAACATACCCACACCCTAATGGTATGTAAAAATTGGGACATACCCACGCCCTAATGGTATGTAAAAACGGGGAACATACCCACGCCCTAATGGTATGTAAAAATGGGGACTTACCCACGCCCTAATGGTATGTAAAAACGGGGAACATACCCCGCCCTAATGGTATGTAAAAACGGGGAACATACCCACACCCTAATGGTATGTAAAAACGGGGAATATACCCACGCCCTAATGGTATGTAACAATTAGAGGCCCAGAGGGCCTGTATCGCTCACCTGAATATGTTTAAAATAATTGGTATGAAGTAAAGATATAGCATTCCATGGTACATATAGGTGCTGTAAATATAGATGAAATTTCAGAAAGATCGATCCAGTACTTGAGGTATAGCGAGAACAAACTTCAAAGAGAGCCCCCCCCCCCCACTATGCCCAGACCTAGGGAGGTCAGACCCACCGTTTATACAAAATTGAGTCCCCTTGGCCCAAGGATGCTCCAGACTAAATAAGGATAAAATCCTGTCATTCGTACAGAAGAAGAATTTGCTTTGTTTTCCCTATTGGGCCCTGCCCTGCTGTCCCTATAGGGGGCCACACTCACTATTCATACAAAATTGAGTCCCTTTTGTCTAAGATCCTTCAGACCAAATTGAGAAGAAATCCCTTCATCCATATGGTAGAAGAAGGATTTTAAAGGTTTATTTCTATTTCTCCTATTGGGCCCCGCCCTTCTGCCCCCTTGGAGACCACACCCACTGCTTATACAAAATTGAGTCCCCTTGGCTCAAGGATGCTCCAGACTAAATTAGGATAAAAACCCTTAATCCCTATGGTAGAAGAAGGATTTTAAAGGTTTTACCTCTATTTCCCTTATTGGGCCCCCCCTCTCTGCCTCCAGGGGGGTCAGACACACCATTTATACAATATTGGTTCCCCTTCACCCAAGGATGCTTCATACCAATTTTGGACAAAATCCTGTCATTCCTACAGAAGTAGAAGGATTTTAAGGAATTTGCTGTTTCCCCTATTGGGCCCCTCCTCCCTTCTGCCCCCAGTGTGGCCACACTCACTGTTTACAAGAAATTGAGTCCCTTTTGCCCAAAGGATGCTCCAGGCTAATTAGGATAATATCCGTTAATCCCTATGGTAGAAGAAGGTTTATAAAAGTTTTACCTCTATTTCCCCTATTGCCCAATGCCTCTCAGGTCCCAGGGGGGCCACACCTACCGTTTATACAAAATTGATTCATCTTTACCCAAAGATGCTCCACACCAAATATGGACCAAATCCTTTCATTCCTACAGAAGGAGAAGGATTTTAAAGAATAATTTGCTATGTTTCCCCTATTGGGCCCACCTCCCCTTTGGCCCCTGGGAGGCAATACCCACGGTTTATACAAAATTGGTTCCCCTTCACCCAAGGATGCTGCAGACCAAATATGAAACAAATCCTTTCATTCCTACAGAAGAAGAAGGATTTTAAAGAATTTGCTATATTTTTCCTATTTGGCACCGCGCCTCAGTGCCCAGGGGGGTCAGACCCACCGCTTATACAAAATTGGTTCCCCTTAACCCAAGGATGCTCCACACCAAATATGGACCAAAGCTTTTCATTCCTGCAGAAGAAGAAGGATTTTAAAGAATAATTTGCTATGTTTCCCCTATTGGGCCCCGCCCCTCAGGACCCTGGGGGGCTAGACCCACAGTTTATACAAAATTGGTTCCCCTTCATCCAAGGATGCTTAAAAGACCAAAAATGGAACAAAACCTTTCATTCCTACAGAAGAAGAAAGATTTTAAGGAATTTGCTATGTTTCCCCTAATGGGCCCCGTTCCTCAGCCCCCAGGGGGGCCAGACCCACCATTTATACAAAATTTGTATCCTTTCCCCCAAGAATGCTTCAGACCAAATATGGAACAAATCCTTTCATTCCTACAGAAGAAGAAGGATATTAAAGAATTTGCTGTATTTCCCCTATTGGGCCCCGTCCCTCAGCCCCAGGGGGGCCAGACCCACCATTTATACAGTATTTGTTTCCCTTTCCCCAAGGATGCTTCTGACCAACTTTGGTCAAAATCTACTTGGCTGTTCAGGACAAGTAGCGTTTTAAAGGAAAAGTTGACGGACGGACGACAGACGATGTGGTATGGCATAAACTCACCATGGTCCTTCGGACCAGGTGAGCTAAAAACGGGGAATATACCCACACCCTAATGGTACATTTATATAAACGGGGAATATATAAACGGGGAACATACCCCGCCCTAATGGTTCATTTATATAAACAGGGAACATACCCACACCCTAATGGTATGTAAAAACAGGGAATATACCCACGCCCTAATGGTACATTTATTTAAACGGGGAATATTATATATAAACGGGGAACAAACGTGGAATGTACCCACGCCATAAAGGTATATAAAAACGGGGAATATACCTAGCCCTAATGGTACATTTATATAAACGGGGAATATTATATATAAACGAGGAACAAACGGGGAATATACCCACACCATAAAGGTATATAAAAACGGGGAATATACCCACGCCGTAAAGGTATATAAAAACGGGGAACATACCCACTCCATAAAGGTATATAAAAACGGGGAATATACCCACGCCATACAGGTATATAAAAACGGGGAATATACCCACGCCGTAAAGGTATATAAAAACGGGGAACATACCCCCGCCATAAAGGTATATAAAAACGGGGAATATCCCCACGCCATAACGGTATATAAAAACGGGGAATATACCCACGCCATAAAGGAATATAAAAACGTGGAATATACCCACGCAATAAAGGTATATAAAAACGGGGAATATACCCCCGCCCTAATAGTACATTTATATAAACGGGGAATATTATATATATACTGGGAACAAACGGGGAATATACCTACACCATGAAGGTATATAAAAACGGGGAATATACCAACGACATAAAGGGATATAAAAACGGGGAATATACCCACGCCCTAATGGTACATTTATTTAAACGGGGAATATTATATATAAACGGGGAACAAACGTGGAATGTACCAACGCCATAAAGGTATATAAAAACGTGGAATATACCCACGCAATAAAGGTATATAAAAACGGGGAATATCCCCACGCCATAAAGGTATATAAAAACGTGGAATATACCCACGCAATAAAGGTATATAAAAACGGGGAATATACCCACGCCATAAAGGAATATAAAAACAGGGAACATACCAACGCCATAAAGGGATATAAAAACGGGGAATATACCCACGCCATAAAGGAATATAAAAACGTGGAATATACCCACGCCATAAAGGAATATAAAAACAGGGAACATACCAACGCCATAAAGGAATATAAAAACGGGGAATATACCCACGCCATAAAGGGATATAAAAACGGGGAATATACCCACGCCATAAAGGAATATAAAAACGGGGAATATACCCACGCCGTAAAGGTATATAAAAACGGGGAACATACCCACTCCATAAAGGTATATAAAAACGGGGAATATCCCCACGCCATAACGGTATATAAAAACGGGGAATATACCCACGCCATAAAGGGATATAAAAACGGGGAATATACCCACGCCCTAATGGTACATTTATATAAACGTGGAATATTATATATATACGGGGAACAAACGGGGAATGCGTTTTAAAGGAAAAGTTGACGGACGGACGACAGACGATGTGGTATGGCATAAACTCACCATGGTCCTTCGGACCAGGTGGGCTAAAAACGGGGAATATACCCACACCCTAATGGTACATTTATATAAACGGGGAATATTATATATATACGGGGAACAAACGGGGAATGCGTTTTAAAGGAAAAGTTGACGGACGGACGGACGACAGACGATGTGGTATGGCATAAACTCACCATGGTCCTTCGGACCAGGTGGGCTAAAAACGGGGAATATACCCACACCCTAATGGTACATTTATATAAACGGGGAATAATATATATAAACGAGGAACAAACGGGGAATATACCCACCCCATAAAGGTATATAAAAACGGGGAATATCCCCACGCCATAACGGTATATAAAAACGGGGAATATACCCACGCCATAAAGGAATATAAAAACGTGGAATATACCCACGCCATAAAGGAATATAAAAACGGGGAATATACCCACGCCCTAATGGTACATTTATTTAAACGGGGAATATTATATATAAACGGGGAACAAACGTGGAATGTACCAACGCCATAAAGGTATATAAAAACGTGGAATATACCCACGCCATAAAGGAATATAAAAACGTGGAATATACCCACGCCATAAAGGAATATAAAAACGTGGAATATACCCACGCAATAAAGGTATATAAAAACGGGGAATATCCCCACGCCATAACGGTATATAAAAACGGGGAATATACCCACGCCGTAAAGGTATATAAAAACGGGGAATATACCCACACCATAAAGGTATATAAAAACGGGGAATATTCCCACGCCATAAAGGTATATAAAAACAGGGAACATACCAACGCCATAAAGGTATATAAAAACGGGGAATATACCCACACCATAAAGGTTTATAAAAACGGGGAACATACCCACGCCATAAAGGTATATAAAAACGGGGAACATACCCACGCCATAATGGTATATAAAAACGGGGAATATCCCCACACCATAAAGGTTTATAAAAAAGGGGAACATACCCACGCCAAAAAGGTAAATAAAAACGGGGAATATACCCATGCCATAAAAAACGGGGAATATTATATATATACGGGGAACAAACGGGGAATATACCTACACCATAAAGGTATATAAAAATGGGGAATATACCCACACCATAAAGGTTTATAAAAACGGGGAACATCCCCACGCCATAAAGGTATATAATAATGGGGAACATACCCACGCCATAATGGTATATAAAAACGGGGAACATACCCACGCCATAAAGGTATATAATAACGGGGAACATACCCACGCCATAAAGGTATATAAAAATGGGGAATATACCCATGCCATAAAGGTATATAAAAACGGGGAACATACCCACGCCATAAAGGTATATAAAAACGGGGAACATCCCCACGCCCTAAAGGTATATAAAAACGGGGAACATACCCACTCCATAAAGGTATATAAAAACGGGGAACATCCCCACGCCCTAAAGGTATATAAAAACGGGGAACATACCCACGCCATAAAGGTGTATAAAAACGGGGAACATACCCACGCCATAAAGGGATATAAAAATGGGGAATATACCCACGCCATAAAGGTATATAAAAACGGGGAATATACCCACACCATAAAGGTATATAAAAACGGGGAACATACCCAAGCTCAAGTATTATTGTTGTCTGTCAGTTGTATTCCATCCTTGTAAGTGCTATTTCTCAGAAAGTTTTGACAGGATCTTTCTCAAATTTAACATAAAGGTTTCATTTTGTAACTGATGGGGAAGTCAAGATGCCACCTTGAATTTAGAGAGTTAAGGTTTGCTAGGCTATTTCTCAGAAAGTGCTGCAGGGATTCTCTCCAATTTCTCTTGAAGGTTCCCCATGGTCTGTTTAAAGTTTTATACATTTAATCTTTGGACTGATCATAAAACCAAGATGGCCTCAATCCAACATGTAAGAGAGAGAAGTCATCAATCATTCATAGTAGAACAAGTGGAACGCCCTTAATTAGCCTTAGCTGTTACATATATGTAATAGGACGTTAAACAAAATAGAATCAAGAACAAGTGAAGATAGATGGTGACAAGGTCCCTCTGGGTACTGTATACCGGGAAATGTTCGGCCTTCAACGGTAAATCATAAATGTAATGATAAATTCACCCTCATTACAGAGGGCGAAAATAGGAGAAAATTAAACCGCAGCGAAGATTTCCCAGTATACAGTATGTTGTGTCCATGATGAACAGGTCCCACCATCACCAACGCTTTGAGTCTGCCTTGAAAACATAGTAGAAGTAAACTTTAGTAAATGGAGTTATCAGGTTATTCTAGGTATTTTGAGTCTCCTTGAAAACACAGTAAAAGTAAACTTAGAAGTTACCAGGGTATTCTAGGTATAGAGACTTTTGATTACAATGCTTCAGCTCGACAACAGAAGCACCTAATGACCCATGTGGAGATTTGGGCAGGAGATGGAACCAAAACTATAGGGGCACGCTGGAACAACGGCAAGGTACAGCTCTGGGATGACTACCGATTTGAAGCCAAGAGTTTCGTCAACGCCAAATACCACTTCCGGTCTATAGATACATGGCTACAAGGCATCTGCCGCAGGTCAGTTTAACTGGTCATTTATAATTCTCAAAACATATACATCATATTATACTCATCATTAATTCTCTACCAATTTGAGGCTTCGGTTTACTTGCTGATTTATTTTGTATGGTTATTTTTGGTAAACATAATGTGTTACTAAAGCAGGGGTGTGGTGGACAATGGGTGGTGTATAAAAAAATCTTCCTATAGACATTGATAATGGTTCTGGTCAGTAATCAGCCACGCCCTTTTTGATATACCAGTAAATATGATGATGACAATTAAACAGCAACGATGGCTGATGAATTACAAAAATGAAGTTATTTTTTTTAAACAATAAAGTAATTACAAAAAGAATTTTCTTGTTACTGCTAATATGTTCATATAGGCAAAGTGAAGATTCAATTAGCATGATTAGCTGCTGAGACTGAAATTCAAAGATGATGATGTCATTTGGTAAAATATTTCAGAATTGAGTTGTTTTGAACTGAAGCTTGTTTCCTAAATTTGTCTGTTTAAAACAGTCCATTAAACCGAATAGTAATCTGTGAACAACTTATATCTGCTCTTACATTTTGTAATGGAAAACTCTGTTTTGTAACATGATCTTAAAATAAACCCGAGTTCTGTAGAAACCCTGAGTCATGACTAGTTTTACCTGTGAAATAAAGATCAGCAAAGATTTAAAAGTTTTCCAGAATTTTAATGACAGATAATGTATACAGATTGTTTTGGCAGCTTCAGTAATTAAGGTAATGTCTAGTCTTGTTTATTGTTTGTATATTTAAATGTTGGTATTACAGGCCAAAATAATTGGCAGACATATGAGAAGTTCCTTTACAGCTGTGATAATATATTTAAGATAGTGGTTATCAACAGGACAGTGTTTCTACTGATCTTTAATCAGGACATAGTATCAGTTCCTACTAGTCTACTTAATTACTTACCCCACATGTTTACCTTATTTACTGTATTATAACCAGGTGCTTAAAAATCTGTGGTTGGAAGCTCTTGATCATAATGAAAATTTGAGGATCGATGTCAAATTCCGATTTTTTATAGGTAACCAGGACAATTTTTTTTTTATTTCATAGGCAATTTATCCTAATTGAATAAAAACAAGTACTGTATGTTGGCATGATGGCCAAGATAATTGGCAGACAAGACCATCATAGCTACGATAATGTATTAAGGTTTGGGTAATTAACATAACAGTTTTTCCATTGAAATTTAGTCAGGTCGTAGAACAAGTGCTGGAGAGTTTATGGTTACAATTCTTTACCTACTTTAGTTGCCCAGGTATAAATCATATGGTTGGGCGCACTCATAGAATCTTTTAGAATGTTGTCACTTTCCATTTTCTGTTTGAAATTGATGGTGAAAGTACGAATTTTCAAGGAAATGTTACATTTAATCTTAATGGAACTAAGCTTACTTTTAAAACAATAATTAATGTGGGTACCTGACACTGACAGGTGATCAACTTCAGGTTTTGTATAACGAATTGTGCAATTTTTCACAAATGAAAGAGAGCAGTATTTTTTGTTTTGAAACTGTCAGCTAGACCACATTTATATCAGACAGGTATAAACTTACAGACACAGAAAGTCTGGGGTGGTGCAGCTGTAGCCCACAGATCAATAATCACTTTACCTACATCACCTTTGAACTTACCTGTACCTTTTTTCATTAAAGGCTATAAATAAAACACAATGGTACATTTGTAAGTATTCATTAGGTTCCGACCTGAACAGTTGGGAACTATTTATGGTTTCAGAAAGTATTTGATACCAATATCTTCCTCATAGTGAAAAACATAATCAGGACAGCAGTCCTGGTATGAAGTATATAGCATTTGTACATGTGTCCATATATCACATTCAATTGTCCATAACAAATGTTTTCAGTGATGAAAGCTAACCATGCTGATTTTGTTCAGTAAAAGACCCCTGTAACATGATTCCAACCCAGTATTTCCCTCTGGCTTGATCAGAATCAATACTTAAGTATAGCAGCATCATGCTACTACACCTAGTCTCAGGTGGACAGCCTACAACCTGTAATGTATCAGCCATATAGTGCCAGGGATCCAGGTAATGTTTCTGTCTCGACACATTGGTCATTTTACTTTTGCCCATGGTAGCAAACAGTCCTGTTTTTTTGTTGAGCCTGACGTGACGTTACTGCAGTTATAACTTCAACACAGCCTGTGTCCACAAGAACAGTGTTTAGTAATAATTTATTAGATATAGTTGATATTTAGAAAAAACAATGTTGAGTCATAATAAAGAAAAAAAATAAACAGGATCCAATAGTTTTATTGTTTAGCAATAATGTAAAACAGTTGCTAATTATTAAAAGATTAAAAGATATCTTTCTTACGTCTATGTGGTATGCAACATACAGTTCTTTTCAAACATCTTCCATGATGTGTGGAAGCAGATTTCTCTAGCAGTAGGACGGAAAGACACCAACTGTTCCATTTGAAAAGCATTAATTATAACATGTAATAGTATTGCTTTGTATATAGGAAGAGTAAGACATGTTTAGTAGGAACACCCTTATTGTGATGTCATGAGTACTGCAAACTGATTCAGATTCCCCAGCTCAACTTACTTCTATGTAAGTATATGTCCATATTGTGAATTTCACTTAGCAAATTATTGTCTATTACAAAGCAATTTAGCCGTCCCCTCAGGTGAAATTCAGTGTCATTATTTCCCAAGTCTGAAGTCAGTGATTATGACCGTGGTCAACAAGAGGTGCCAGAGGGGGACCTGTCAGCTTCTTGTTTTTATACACTTTGTAGGACTACTGAACATAGTGTCTGATTTATACATTATTATCGTTGTTTTGTGGTAGATCATGTTTATCCTGCATTTTAATCTAAAATATACAACTTGGACTTCTAATACAGCAATTTGGTATACTCCTTAGATACTAAAATTAATCTTCATATATTTGTGTGTCATTGTAGCTTCTGCCCCGAACATAAATGGCGGCGCTCCTTCAGCCCTAGTAAAAAGTCTATATTCTCGTTAGACCTAGACAAGGATAAGGCAAATGGACAGAAACCAGACAGTAATGCAAAGAAACAAGATAAGGACATACCTGTGACAGCCAGTTCCCCGGGGAAGGAGGAGGAGTTAGAGGAGGAGCAGCTGGATGAGGATATGGAAGAGGAAAATGAGGAGGAGGAGGAGGTGGAGCCTGCCTGTGAAAGTGAGGAGGAAGGATTGGACTGTTCCCCACGGGAACCTCAATTCCTAATGTCTCCTCACAATGCCTCCGGGAAGGTGAAGTACAATGGCTCAAGTAAACGGTTTCCACAGCGCCAACCACACTCTGCCAACAACACCCCAGTGAACGACAGCGAGGAGGAAAGCGAGGACGAAGAAGACCTAAACATAGGGGGCAAAATGGCCAGTCTAGACATCAGTGAGACCTCTGTGACCAGGCTTGGCAGACTTCATCGGAGTCACACGGACATTTTGTCAGGGCGAAGTATAGCAGATTACAAGTCACAGCGACTTCTCTCGCAGAGTGTGCAGGAACTGCCCACTCGATTTCCTGTTATCATCAACGATGTTGGCAAAGCTAAGCCTAATAATAGAAACGGTTATGAACGAATGAAAAATCTAGCCTCCCCTAGGAACTCTCTTCCTGTCAAACAAGAAAAAATGTTCAAGACAAAGAAAAAGTCACTAGAGGAGAGGCGGAGGATTTTCGGCGATTTGGAGCAGTCTAGATCTGTACTGTTGATTGATAATGATAGTTCAGATGAGGACATCAATGATATTAGTACTGCGATTACAATTAACAAAATCAAATCTGCTGATGTACTTGTCAATCCGTCATCTGATCAACTTCCTGATCCATCGTCAGATCATCTTGTCAAACTGCCGTTAGATGAATTTGTTAATCTGTCATCAGATGAGCTAGAGGATGTAACAGAAAATGGACTTAGAGAAAATAACATAACAGAGCAATTCAATGAAGATGATATCACAAAGGAAGATGGATTTTGCACTGGTGTTTGTAAAGGACAAGAGTTAAATGACAGAAAGGACAGCAGCAAAGATGATGACAAGTACGACAGTGAGGATGAAGACTTTGTTAATACCGTACAGACAGCATCATCAACACTGAGCCAGGATGACAAAGACGATGCTGAGGAGGAGGATTCATCTCAAGGTGACCATGTTGTCACCAATTAACCTTGTGACCCCGCCGTCATGAAACAGTCATGTGATGACGGGTTATTAGGTTAATTAATATTATTAAGTTGTTTTTGTTATTGAGTTGTGACATGGTGACTTATAATCTCATATATTGCCTCCAGACATTCAGCAATTTTATCTCACAGCTTTGCCGGCAATTACTTTCTCATCAATTCTAGACTGGTAGATGCCATTCTTTATAAGATAAATAGTGCAAATAGTCTGGTCTGGTTGAATATAAATAAATGACAAAAATTACAATTTTATTTTCAGAATGTTTTCAAATAAACATTGAAATTATATACATTAACTAGAATAACACCTCAGACATAATCACTAGTATTTTTACTTAAACTTTTTTACATTTCTCAAAAGTTTCATTAGAGCTTTGAATGGATAAGAATACATGTTCTGTAGAATCTTCAAAAGTTTCCTAAAATAATTCAAAATGACTTGAGTGGTTCTCCCATCAATTAACTTTGTAAAAAAAAATGTTCATGTTTCTAAATAGATGTTTTAGAGCTGTGGAGCTCTTTTAGAAAGAAAAGCATGGATTTATATAGCAGTCAGGTAGCATACAGCCTTAAGTGAAACAAACTGTGTAATGTTTACACACTCGGTCTTAAGTCAAGCAGGCCTTTTTCAATTACGGCATGCAATTTAAGACACGTAGTTAGCCTTGTTCACTTTGGATACTCAATATAAGCCAGCCAGGCCAAATGTTCAGTTTGGACACTTAGCATAAGTCAGCAGGCTGTGCTCAGTTTGGACACTTAGCATAGGTCATCAGGCTGTTATCAGTTTTTGACACTTAGCATAAATCAGCAGGCTGAGCTCAGTTTGAACACTTAGCATAAGTCATCAGGCTGTGCTCAGTTTGGACACTTAGCATAAGTCAGCAGGCTGTTCTCAGTTTGATCACTTAGCATAAGTCATCAGGCTGTGCTCAGTTTGAACACTTCGCATAAGTCATCAGGCTGTTCTCAGTTTGAACACTTAGCATAAGTCAGCAGGCTGTTATCAGTTTGGACACTTAGCATAGGTCATCAGGCTGCTATCCGTTTTTGACACTTAGCATAAATCAGCAGGCTGAGCTCAGTTTGGACACTTAGCGTAAGTCAGCAGGCTGTTCTCGGTTTGGACACTTAGCATAAGTCAGCAGGCTGTTCTCAGTTTGGACATTCAGTATTTATAGCAAAGCTGTCCCAAACAAGATGACCAGAACATGTTATTTTCTGAATTCAAAAAAGTGAGTTCAATTATGATAGCTGATGAGATCTGGAGGTAGTATCGAGGGACGACAGGAAGATTGCATGCTGTTGTTGACTAAATAGTGTTATTGTTGAATTAATGTAGGGACGCATATAAATTATTTATATTTATATGTCCCTCTGAAGTATTATAATATTTATACATGTATGTCTTTATAATGTATGCATGCTGTTATTGTTATTATTGTTATATGTTCATTGTAAATGTTTCACTCCACACTAGATTTTAAAGAACTACATAATTAAGACTGTTAATATTTACATTTTGTAAATCTGCCAATACATTGTATATAAATAATCAATGAAGTTCATTTACCGTGCCTGTACAACACTACTTTCCCTGTGATCAGTATGACGGGTAAACAAACCCTGGATATCTGTATAACACAACTTTCCCTGCGATCAGTATGACGGGTAAACAAACCCTGGATATCTGTATAACACTACTTTCCCTGCGATCAGTATGATGGGTAAACAAACCCTGGATATCTGTATAACACTAGCTACTTTCCCTGCGATCAGTATGATGGGTTAACAAATCCTGGATATCTGTATAACTGCACAACTAAATGAATCACACTTGGTAATTACATTATGATCAAAAAAGTACAACACACCATCCCACAATCCATAGGTAAAAGAAAACAAGATTTTATGTCGATAATGAAGATTATGTTTTGTGTTTTGAAAATGTAACAGAAAATCCTCCATTAACCAGTAGGATCTTTGTACATCGTATCACTGGTTTTTGGTAGAAAAGGTCACACAAAAACAGAATGTTTTTTGTTTCATTATTCTAAAAATGTATAAAGTGGAATCTGTTTAGGCCAAACTATGCTCTGTATTGAATTAACTGGCTTTTAGATATCGCACTCATGTACAGAACTAATTGAAGTGCAGCCAACAAATGTACAGCTAGGATCTGGTTTATACAAATTACTGTGTTATGTATTGAGTATACTTTAAACAGGTAATAACACAATATATGAAACCTAATTAAAACAATATATTAATCTCGATTCAGCCCTTTCATTAATCTTGAAGTTGATGGCAGTATTTAGATTAAAAGAATATGTAATAACTTATCATATACAGAAGTACATAGACTCCAGTACATCAAAGTGTCTATAGATTGTTACTGATCTCAGAATACATAATGATCTGTGTGAGGGATATTTAAGTATAGATTGAAGAATTTCATGTATAATTTATTTTGATGTTACTCTAGATCTTGCCAGCATAATGATGTTCATGTAGCAAACTGGCTCTTTGGACTGCTACCAATGTCATTAGCTAAACAGTATATTGAAGACATTTGCTTAACAAAATTGAATTTAAGATGAAATTCTAGAAAATAAGATTATTATGTCAAATTCCAGATTTGAAATACCAGATTAGTATATCATCACCTTATCAGTGAGATTACACTGTGTTCCTTGACTGGTGCATTCATTAGTTAATATGTCATGCAATATTAACTGTTGCGAGACATAAAACCACAAAAACACTGAATGACAGTTAAAAATGGTCACGCTGACAGATTGATAGAAGGTTGTGTTGATTGTAAATCCACAGTAAAACTGTAAACATTGGTCAGTATATCTGTATAGTATTGTAACCTGGTAACACTGTGTTGTGTCCTCGTTTATTTTATATATCTTTACCAAGCACCTTGTACACAGTTAAGTATGATAATTAATCCTATATCTGTGATATGGTAGTGTATATAGTTGTTAGAAATGTGTTTTGCATCATATTTTTTATTGACATCAAAAATATAACTACACATACAGGTTTAATTGTTGAGAATAAGAACCCCCTTCCCAGCTCCCAGCTCCCCTACCTGAGGGTGATCAGTAAGGTTGGAAGCCTTTAGTGCAGATTTATTCAAAGTATATGATACCTAGTATGCAAGATAGATGCAGTTTNCCCCCCTGAAAGGATCTGTACATGTGACGTCATAAGACTGACCAAGTTCTTTTTCACACTCACATTTTATACGGCAAAATATGTCTAAATCCTGTGAAAAATGTGTTTTTGTGTCCGGTACTGTACACATTTAGGATGTAACCTGTTTTCAAGGTTCATCACCCTGTATCCCAATGCTGAGAGCCGAACCAGCATTTCCCCATAAATACCAGAGTCAGATGCTGTAGACGTCATGGCCAAACATTGGCTGTGTTAATAATTACAAGTCATTGACTGACTTTTAGAAAGCACACATTTATTAAATGAATCTTATAATGAAAATAAATGTAATTCGTAAAGTTTACATCGGTCAGCTAATTGATTGTAAGAACTGTAAATCTGATAAAATCTGATAAATCTGATTACTTAAATGACAAAAGACAGTCCAAAATACAAAAATTGGAAACATGTAGACACAGCAAGGTCAACTTATTGCCTGGGTTGAATGAAGACTCCAAACCGCATGTATTATGACACAACAGTGTAGGAAGTAGTGCACTTCTAGGTAGATAATGGCAGACATTACGAGAAAATGGTATGAATAAGAAATATCCCACGTATGCAATCCTAGCAACAAGTTAATCAATGACTTTGGTGCTAATACCTCGGTTTTCTATGCAGATCAATTTAAAGCATCACAGCAGTGAATGCAGGAGTTAGACGGTATCATAAAGGTGTCTTGTTGTGTACTTGATGACCCTGTAGATGTATTAAACTTGATGAAAGATTGAAATGTACAATGCATCGGGGTGCAGACTGATGTGCTGTAGTCGATGGCGATTCTCCCTCGAGGTGCACGGAGTGAACCGCGGTCAGGGTTCGCCAGGTAGGTAGTGCTGGGGGAGGGACAGACCTGTTTTCTATCAGCATGCTGTATCAGCTAGGTCTTCCGTTTACATTCCTGTCAGTATGTCATAATACTCGATAGGAATTACTTAAGGGGCAGATCCATGACCTCCCATCCCAGAACACTCTTGAAATCTCCAGCATTATATTTTATGTAACAGTTTCAGGAAACAGGCTAATTACGTATAATAATATTGAGTAAATTTCTGGTTTCTCAATCATTTAAAATATTGTTTAAATTGACAAATTCAAACTCCAATATAAAACTAGTTTTCAATACTTGAATGCTCAATCATGGACTTTTTAATATCAATAGATTTTGATTCCAAGATATTAGTGAAGACCTCAGTAGCTTAGATTGTTTTGAGATGTATTCCCAGGAAACTAAATTCTGTGCAACTCTGAAGTAAAAGAACATTCACTTCAACACATATTCAATAACCATATCTATTCAACAGATTCAGACTCGGAGATGTAGACTGGATACTGGGAAATCTTTGCTCAGTCCAATTTGTTCACCTTTCGAGGGTATAAAATCCATCTTTAACCTATAATTAGATTCACCCTTCAAATTCAATTACTACGTATATTATGTTATTTTAACAAAAAGTTAGCTGTAATGATGAATTCACCCTCGGAGGATGTTATAAAAAAGCAAAAAAGATAACTGCATTGAAAACATTTTTCAGTAAGATTAAATACAGTAAACATTATATCATGTCTTTGCTTTTTACACATGTCACCACATTTTAGAATTCCTTCTATTGCAAACACAATTCTCCGTTTCTCCAACTCCTTTACTTACAACACCGACTGTAAGTGTCCCAGTAGAACATGTAAACCGTTACAACTACCACCATAAGTACCATTGTTTCAAGTTAATTTTTGT